TTTGAAGAGCCATTCTAGTAAAAACCGCTCTCTATATTTGGAGATCTAGTTTAAGAGCTGTGGAGGTACACCAAAAATCTCTATTCCTATCAATACTGAAGGATATAAAAAGACTCTTGGAGATGCTCTTAGTCAGGCGGCATGTATTACGAATGATGGGGGTTCACCACGAGTGTACCTCCCCATGGTGAGGTATGTCCATGGCAAGTGTCCATTATCTTTAATCCATAAACAATTGAATTTGATTTGAATTCTTTAAAATTTAGTGCCACACCCAGTTTTAACGACAAAACCCAATACATTTTACATATATATTATGATCAGTTTATTCATACATATGGTGATGATATCAGTGATACATTGTGATACTTATTATAAATGATATGAGGTCTTCCATCTTCCATAGGTAGTTGACCAAGGTACACGCCAATGTAGCCTCGACACCAAAATTCCATCTTCTAGTCCAAACAACTAGGTGTAGTAGTAAAGGGGAAAAATAAGAAGGGTGAGTACATCGACACGTACTCCATAAGTGTAGAAAAGTAGGGGTGAAAGTGGCATGGATAATTCTCTGTTCTGATCTAATCCAAATCTGAATTTGAGGTTATGGAAAAGAACATTTGATATCTGCACATGCAGATATGGATAGTAAAAATCCAACTAGATGTGAGGTAGGATATGGAATCAAGAAAAATCTAATGGATATGGATTATCTGCAAATTCTATACAGATTATCTAATGTTTAGAATGTGATATCCGATAATTTCTCTTCCTATACTAAAACCTAGAGGAATTCAGGATTTTTTTTTAAAAAAAAGCTTGTTAGTTGAGAACTCATATATTTTGTGATGTGGTTGTTTGATGTTCTAAATTTTGAATTGATATCTTGCTGGCTGTTATTACATATTTGCTAATAACTTATCATTCGTGAGTGAGGATACCTTATTCAGGGCCTATTTGGGATATAGGAATATAATTTTGCAGGATTTCCACATGAATTTTATAGGAATCAGTTCGAAAAAAGCTCAAACAAGTGATTGAGAGTAATTTTAGGATGATTGTTAGCCTCAAACTCTATGTAAGCCGTTGGGCACTCTAGGATTTGGTTAAACAATGAATTAGTCTATTTCATATTCCTTCTCTCCAACAAAATAGGGAGCAGAGGGGAAAACCTCGCCCCCACTGTACCGATGGCTACGACCTGTGCAGCCAAGGCGAGCTGCTGCCACCATTGCCATTACCCCTGCAATGGTGACGTAACACCTTGGTATCCAACCGATCATCTTCCCCTGCTGCCTCTGATCCCGTCCAGGCAACCACCAGCCGCCTCTGCTTCTGCCAAGTCATCACCCACCACTATCACCATGCCTGGTTCCAATGATGATGATGGGGCATGGATTCCGACAGTGATGGGGGCTTCCAACCTAGCAGTTATTATCAGATCTGACGTAGTGGTACTTATCATCCTTGATGTCTTGAGCTTTTTCCTTGTCTTCAAGGGTCTTTATGACTGCTCTTTGATATTAATTTGAGGTGTTAATTCCTTGATCTTGACCCTAGCATAGCTCATGTCATCTTTGCATCTTTAGGACTAGTGTAAGTTGTAGACTATCAAACATAGTTATTAGTTTTATAGGATATATTGTCATTCAACTACCAAAATCACTAAGGTCTTGCCACGCTCATGTTTCTTAGAGATTTGACATACTTCAAGGCATAATCGGATCAGGTAAGTTTTGTATTATTTAAAAGATGGAAGATCAATAATGGTACTCTACAGCGCATGCACTATCTTTCCATATCTTAAACTCACTTAGCTTTTCTATATGGTGTGTGTACTTTGTTGACACCAAAATTTGGTTCGAAGTGAAAGGGCCCCGAGGTCAAAATCTGTCAAGGGAAAGCCGAAATAATCAACAAGATCGGCTAACCAGATTGCTAGATCAGCTAGCAAGATGACATCATTAAGGGAATGAGCCCTATCGACAGAGACAGCAAGGCATGAAGCAAGAAGACGCGTCGGGCTCCATAGAAAGAAAAGATTGGATTCCAAGTGTCGGGGTCATAACCCCGGGACGTCTCAAGGCACCAATTAGTTAGCAGGCCGCACGGTCTGCAACGCAACAATCAACAAGGGCCCAAACAACCGAGGCCCAGCGAAAGCCGAGCAGAGCAGGCCAGGTGATAAGGCCAGGGGTGCTTACGACCCTTTCCTCTAGCACAGGTCACGTGACGCTCAGATGCGCGACCTCTCCCCGTCACGACCCCTAAAAGGGACGGGGAGAGGTCAGGCCTTGCCTGACGAACCTGCTCTCACAGGGGTGAGCACGCCACACCGATCCCTCAAGGACCGATGTGACGGCAGTCACCTCAGTCCAGTCAGGCGCCATCCCTGTGCCAGACCGCACCAACGAGACAACACCACACAATGGTGGCAACAGGTACGAAACCCACCGTTTGAATACGGACCGATAAGACGCGTGTACGATCTCGCACACTACGGGATGGGATCCATGACAAGGGTCTCAACTTGGAGACCTTCGCAACTTGCGGAGAGCCTCGACCCCAACGATGGGGGTCATGGCCCTCAGCCTCATGAAGCGACCAGGCAAACAACAACCTAGGGCGGCTACCTACTACGGGTACGATGCCCCGGGGAACCTGGAGACAACGGCGAAGACCGTGAAGGATGCCGCATTGCATAGGATAGCTGACGAACTATCACCATGGCTACAGTGTTGCCACGGCCAGCATAGTAACACCACGTTAGACCCTGCCGCAACGTGGCCATAACACCATGATGACGGCCACGCCTGGACAGACACCAGAAGATGGCGTAGCTTGCAAGCCAAGTTAGCTAGGACCTCCCTCAGACTCTCAACCTTGGCTCAGGGTAACCTTCTCTTTATAACGAGCCTCGGCCCCGAACTCTATATAAGGGCAGCCAGGGCTCCCATCTCGAAACATCTTCACATTCTTCATCCTCTACCATTCCATCCATAGCAGTAGGGCTCCCGGAGCTTCTCTTCGGGCTGCCCCTCATCTAGCATAGGTTCTACCACCTCTTTTCACCATTCTTGCACCCCTTGTAAGAACTGCAGAGCATTCAAGAGAGGAACACACACTCGATCTTCTCTGAGACTGGATGTAACTAAACTACAAAACAAATGTTAGGCCCATTCTTGCCACCAAGCGTCAAACAAAGTGGAAGAAAAGGGGCCACACTTCCATCCTTCGGCATTGATGGAAGGCAGAGCATCCTCAAACTGTCGAATTCTCTGGAATTCCCATGGTTGACTGATGGCTTCTCTTGGCCTTAGTTTGTCTGCAAAGAAGAGCCCAGGAGGCAACTATCTAAAGCCAAGTTGGCGAGCAGCAATGGAAGGATTATAGAATTCGTAGGACGTCGGCGGTTTCTCCCGGCCGTGTCTAAATTCCACTGGGAGCAACCCTAGTTTGACTATACACTAGAAAATTGCAGTTGATGGCTCGTCCGAACAGGCAGTTTTGAATTTGAAAGAGATCGGGAGTTCGAATTCGACAATCTCTGGATAGACGAACCAAGTTAGAGCCTCATCCGAAATCCCCTTGTAAAAACCTCTAAAGAACTGACCGGTGCTCCAATTGATTGAGAAAGCCGATGCAGCCTCGCCAAAAGACAGACATCGACGAAACTTATCTTCTTCATCCAGAGCCTCTTCTTGAGCTTCCGAGTAACTCAGAGAGGGGAAACTTAAAGTTCGAAGGTCATTCATTGCGACCTTCTGCATATGTAGGTTCATCCACAACTGCAAAAGCCACCATAGTCCGCTAATTGTACCAATGGGCTCATTCATCATCAGTTTTGAAGACACTTGGTGCATCAGGTAGTACAAGGATCCAAACAGACACTTGCCTAAGGGGATATCAGCACCATGGGACAGTCGTTCTGCCAAATATAAGGGGCTTGTCAACCATGTGCCCATGTCGAACCTAGTCTCACCATGGCACCTAGCCTAGACTTGAAGCCACCTTGCACCTACCATGTTCCCTATCCTCCCATCAAACCCCTAAAGTGGCCAAAGCTTCGGTCAAGCCATAAGTCCACATCCATGTATGAGTGAATTTGGTTCTTCTTCGTTCTTTTGGCTCTTTGTGATAATCTGTAGCTTATAGGATTATCGGTTGGACGTGCGTCAGCTCTGGAGGAGGACCCGTGGAGTGGAGCTGACCCTGGAGGTGGAGGTCCGCGCCAATCGACTACGTCGACTGACGGAGACTTGTACCACTACTACCTTGACATCACAGGTGTCATGGCAGCACCTTTTACTTAGAGAATCCTATTAGGCATTGCAAAGTAGATCTGCTAGCACTTTACATTTATTCCTTGCTAGAGTATGTGATGCATGATATTGCCTGAGCCTTGCTTGTCTTGATTGAAACCATTTAACCCTGATTACCCAGCTCCGCGCTCGCACTTATATATGCCTGTCTGCTTGCTTGCATTTTACTCCATCATAATTACATATATTCCTTGTTATGTGATGTGTGATGGATGTTTGGATGATGTGGATGGTGGATGGGGTTTCACCGCGAGGCACCCCCATGTGGTGTGGTTTGATACGTGATGGGAGCAGTGAATCCCGAGTGGGTGGTGGTGATGTGAGGAGTTCTGGAGGTCTTCCTTGCCCTTGACCTGATTCTTGGAGATACTGGCCAGACTGAGAGGATTGTCGCGGTGTACAAAGTGCACCTAGTGTGGTTCCTGTGGCGGGACCACGGGTCCTGAAGGGACGACGGTCCTCGAGGGACATTGGGATGATGAGTTTGGGGATGGATAGATCACCTCTATGGGGTGAATCTAGTGCTCTGAGGGCACATGGATTGGTGAAAGGTGCTCGCTCTGGCTAAATTAAGGACTAAGTAGGTTGCAGCCATAAATCACAGGTTATTTCTATGCTCACCACATGCTTACATGGGTGCGGCCCGTTGCCCAAACTAGTGCAGGCGACCATTAGTCTCTATGGGAGATAGTAGGCACGCGGTCCGTGGCCCTGTGCAATTAGTGTCAGGAGGACGGAGGTTACTTCGTGCTACCACAACGACACGATCCCAGCTTATATAGTGGCGTCTATATATCTTCGCTCCGGATGGTGGGCAGGACTGGTGTTAGTCGGCCTAGTTTGCGGTGGCGGTGTTCATCGTTTGACGGTGATACGTCGACGGTGTTCATGTGGGGGAAAATCTATACGTATAGCCGCGGTCTCGGATATGACCACTTACCTGTGTGCACGGTTCAGCTCACTAACTTCTCTTGTGCTTTGCTTTTCTCCCCCTGAAGCTAAGGTACGGCTTGAGGCCGATTAGACGAGGGGCGTGAAGAGGTTGCTTCAATGACTAGACTGAGAGATTGAGGATGTTGTGAGGGATGATGAGTGATGACTTGTGATGATGATGAGTGGATGGTGAGAATGAGATTGTGGTTTGGGATTAGAGAAGTTTATACGTTACTTTTGATGCTTTCTGCATACGCTAAGGATGCAAACCATAACAAAACTATTAGGACCGCTAGATCCTTTTATTTTCTATTTTCTACTAAAGCTCATCGGTGCTGACCGTGGCCTGCACACATCTGGCGGTGTGCAGATTTCTTGACTTGTAGTGATGTTGAGATTAGTAGTTGATTTCGTTCTACACTCAAGAATATCTCTGGATGGGAGATCGTCAAGCTTCGCTTCCACGAAAGAATACCAGTGTTCTGCTGGTTGCTAGCTGTATCTAAATTATTGTAATATATTATTTGTGCACTCGGATGTCGTATGAGTCTGTAATCATCTGTAATATGGACGTCCACGATAGATGAAGTATCTAGAACTATCACGTAGGGGCAAAAAAAAAAATCAGAATTTCTCTTGGAAAATCCCGATCTGCTACAGCCTTCCTTCCAGTTCTCTGGCCCTGGGCGCCGGTTAGAGCGGTACCAACCTCCTTGCTGATCTTAGAACCGCCCCCTTGGCCCTGGTTCCAATTACCCTGCTGAACTGGACCTCGGCTGGCTTCTAGGCGGTCACCAACAGCTTCCTTGCCCGGATTAACCCGCCCCTGGTCACCCTGCATCATCCCGTGATTACTCGCTGCAGCTGTCGCGAAGATCCTGTTCTTCATCGAGGAGGTCATCCTCTTCCATCCAGTCCTCATGCCACCCTTCCTGCCTATGTTTCAGAGGCCGATTTGGCCCCCGAGTCGCCATGCCTTTCGCAGCAGCACGAGCAAAGCTAATGGGTGAGCGGAGTTGGGGGAGGAAGACGGCGGATGTGTCTGGTTAAGTGTCCAAAGCGTCTTATCTCTCCAGATTGGGCTGCATAATAGGTCTCCATCAGCAGAGCCCCTTTGGGGATCCAAAACCAGCCCGGCCCAGGTCCAATCCCGCCAGGTGTCTAGGAGTAGTCAAACCGGACATCAGTGGTCAGGTGGTGTTCCTCCTCCCGCCCACCTGGGTTCAATTGAACCTGCTGAGCAACCGCACTACCCATTGGACCTGCATCATCCTCCCCATAGAAGCTTCCAGACGAGTACATGCTGCATCCAGATCCGACATCGAAGAATCCCCCTCAGAGGTAAACAAATGCAGGCGAATCTCCTCTGCCAAGTTGATCTGCTCCCGTAGTTTTCCCCCTTTCGTTATTGTCCTATAACTGGATCCCCCATGACTATCAGAGCTCGGGATTGGCGGAGCCATCGTCAACCGACGATTAGCACCCTTCTTCGCCGGGATTGATCCAGGGAGGGGCCACTCCCCGTCAATCAGCGAAGCCTCTGAAGTACCCATGACCGGAATCGAGGGTTCCCCTGCCCCTCCACGGTGGCTCGCACATTGCTTGGGTTGGCTTGTACTTGTCGTAAACGATCGTAAATTTCTAGCCGGAACAGTATTTTTCTCTCACACCAAACCAGCCAGCAGTACTTCTTCACGAACCAGCAACGAACAAGCACAACCAAACGAACAGGCTGCTGGTTCCCCTACCTTCCCAACCAACCCAAGATGTCCCCCAGAGAACGGAATCGGAGAAACCTCACCTGTCGTGGCGGCAGAGACCCTCGAAGCAGACAACCTCGTCGTCGTCGGCAAATCCACCGCTTTGGCGGAGGGGTTCGAACCTGCGTTGCTCGAAGGCGTCCACGGCTTGACATTCGCAGCGCGCCAAAGGTCACGGGCCGCGATGGCCGACTCCACCGACCCCCTCGTCGTAGATGGAGAGACCGCCGACGAGCCCACTCCCCTTCCGGTCGCCGGGGAGACCCCGGTCGCCTCTCTCTCCCCTGTCCCCTTGACTTGGGCCATAACTGAGCTGTGTTTTCGCGGAAGTCCCTGCTGATCTCCTTATATGATCCATCTAATAACAATTATGTATATAATTGAGATGCAGAAGCATACCATGAATAACAGAGTAAACATTTCGAATTAATATCAGCATATATAGGGTGTTTGTACACATCAGACAACACAGTGTTTGGATTAAATCCAACTGACCGTGCTATAAATGAACTTCACGGTGAGTGCCATGTATAAAATCTTCACATATTGATAGTACCGTCTAATATATATATTTGAAAGATGTACCGTTGACAACATGTCCTATCTACAAAATTGTAGATATCCAACAGATGATCATGAAAGGAACCATGTTGTATGTCAGTTTCATCACAGTACTCATGAAGACTTGATGTTTATATTTGTTCAGATAAAAATTTTAATAACATTACATTCTATTTGTTCATGCTTCGTGAAAAATCATATAATATTATCGAGTGACTATCAATGGAATGTTGCTAACATCACACTCAAACTACTGTTTTTTTTATAATAATACAATACATGTTCAAATTGCAACACACGAATATGATCCTATAGTTTATGAAACAAAAACAGAACATGCAAAGGTAAAACACGCGGATGCTTCTAACATCGCAGTTTGATCGCGTGCATCCCCATGACCCCCGCTGGACCCGTTCACGTCTGATAATGATATGGCCACGCCCCTGCAGTGCGCATGGCGTCCACAGGTCGGAGCTCATGCGCGATTGACGCAACACCAGGAAAAGATATAATAATAACTAGCTACATGCGTACAAGAAGTGCTACATAAGTACAAGAAGTAAGAAGTGTCAAGAATTTACTGGGTGTTCCGCTGATCCAGGGAGTGTTCAGCTGGTGATATTCGGCTGGCTGGTTCGCTTTTTTTTTTTCAGCCGGAGCAGTGTTTTTCTCTCACAAAATCTCAGCACAAACAGTAATTTCCAGCATGAACAGTGCCAGAATAATACCAGCCGAACAGTGTCCAAATAATACCGGTCTGTGGCTTATTTCGGCTGATTCAATAATGTTCTGCGAGAGAGAATAAGCTGAAAACTTGAGACTAGACAAGCACAACAACAGGTGCCAACCAGCGATAGCGACGGTGAAGGCCACTGGGTTAAAAGCGCTGTGATGATAGCGATATCGACGATAACGATATCGACGCAGGGACCAATACGGTGCATGATACGGGGCTCGTGGAGGAAGCGGAACTCCAACTTGCCATAGCCGATGCGTGGATGCACCAGAGTGTCCTCTGCGAGGGCGCAACGCGTGTGGAGGTCCAAGGATTGGCCCCCACCGCCGCAATCGCACCTGTACCTGGGCCCGTAACCGGGCTCCTTGCAGCCGTTGCACATGAACGGCGCACCGTCGTCCATCAGCTTCAGCTTGTGCTCCGGGTGGGCAGGATGGCAGATCTCCGACGGAGGATCATTGTGCATATTATTGCTAGATTTCTGCTGCTTAGTCCTCAAGAGCCCCTGAATAGAATTAGTTAGTTTCATCAAACTTATATAAGGTTTACATTAATTAATGCTTTCAGCTGTCTGAATATAATGTTAGGCACAGTAAGCAGCGAACGCAACTTGTGCAGGCGTATCCTGCACACCATATAACCATAAATAAAGGCTAATACAATCCTAGTATATGTACTGTATCGTAATGCTATATCCAAAACTATACAGTCAATATACTATAACATTGAATATATGTATATAAAAAACACCTCTAATCTACTGTATGGTATTGTTTTTTCTGAGCCACTTATACAATTACTCCATCCATTCCAAATTGTAAGTCATTCAACTTTCTTGGAGAGTCAAAGCATCTTAAGTTTAATCAAAATTATAGAGAGAATTACAAATATTTACGACATCAAATAGGTAAACTATGAAAATATAATTAATGAAGAAGAATCTAGTAATACTTATTTGGTATCATAAATGTTATTATTTTATTATATGAATTTGTTCAAACATGAGACGATTTAAAACTCAAGAAAGTTGTAATGGCTTTTAATTTGAGATGGAGGAAGTAATTGTTACAATACGCTTGTGTCTAAAGAGTGGATCCAAAACGGGAACTTGTTTTTCAAGTCTTAGATACCAAATATAAGCTATATATCTTGATGATGGTACAATTTTATTCTACTCTTTTTTACTCTGCCATGTTAGCAAAATATTATCTGACACTCATTTAACGTTGATAAGAGATTGCACAGGGATTAGCCTAACAAAAAGAAGACCAGCACAGTCATTGAACAGAATGTCGGGGAAATATAATATTCAGTGGCACAGGAGTATCTTGTTAAATTTTATATTATATCAAAATATATTTCAATAAAATCTAGAATTTATTATATTTTTTCCATTGTAAATCATTTAAAAGACACGTATAATCGAAGTCTGGTCAGATATGATGTCCCAAAAGTTTTGTATTTAATATGAACACAGATACTTTTCAGAAAAATAAATTTTATGATGGATATTTTACACACAAGATTAATCATGGTACCTTTTCCATCGGCAGCTTTGAGTCAATTTCCAAATTTCCCATCTCATCCAATTGACTCACGATATCCTTTATTGTAGGCCTCTTATATCGGTCAGTCTCCATGCAGTTTCTTGCAATCTCGATACATCTTTTCACTTGTTTGCAATCTGCTTCAAGTGATTCATACCTGGGTATCTCCTGTAGACACCTTTTCCAGTTCTCGTGAACCTTGGAAGTCAAACGTAGAGTATAAAAGCAGTGCAACAAGGCAGTTAACATGAATGAAATTTGCTAGAGAGACAACATATGAAGTTGCAGTCTTATTCCTGTGTTTTGCTCAATTGACCATGAAGAAACCTTAATTGGAACATTAGTTTCTGCATTGCCCTTTTGCGGTTGGTTCTTGGAGCCTTGTTCACTTACCTATTGCTGACCCTCTTAATCAGCCTATTGAAGTACTTGCTGAATTCAAATGGCAAGTACAAGTTCCCTTTTTCATGGAGATAATTATTTTACTTTGCTGGAGAATCTAGTCAGTTCGAAATGACTCTATTTTGAGGAATTTAACATACTTTGTAGAGAGAGCCAAAAGCATCTTCAAGGAAGAGTTTGCCATGGTTATCCATAGGCCAAAGAAGAAATACTTTCCCTTGATATTGTTATGGCGAGAAGCTTTGTTGTAATCTTTTTTTTTTTCGTTAAACTTTGTTGTTCGCCTGTTTTAAACTCTTCTAAGAAATTCAGTAGGGCACAGTCCTCCTGTTTGCCCAAAAAAACATAGTTTGCCCTATTGCCAATATAGGTTTTGTTTAATTTCAAACACGTGAATTAACTATAAGTAAATCATAGGAAACTGACACAACTATGTGATCCAAATACAGGAGCCCCTTGCACTACTACTGAAGTCGAGTGTTTTGATCAACTGTAACTATATCATTCCAAATAGTAATGTATTTTAGTTTTGTCCTAAATTAAACTTATCTAATTTTTAAAAGCTCAGAATATATATATATATATATATATATATATATATATATATATATCATGATATTAAATTAATGTAATTAATTCACTATGTAATGTATCTTGATACAACATTTATTTGGTGGTATAGATGTTAATATATTATATTAAATGCTTTGTTATGACTAGAGAAGTTTGAGTAGGATAAATGGAAAGAAACTATATATTTTAGAATATATTTTGAATCATAGAGGGTAAATACCATTTCCATTGCCCGAAGGTGGAGAAAAGCAATAGGGCTGATGCACAACACTTTACTCGTAAAAGTATACAGTGATGACAAATCTTTTGTTATTTTGTCACATGGTTTGATGCAAACTTGGTAAACTGAGATGTGGATAATGAATCTCATAGTACGTGATAGTAACAAAATGTTAGGATGATAGTAACTTGTATTCTTACATGTTCAACAAATTCTTGGGCAGCCATGTCGGCAACAATGGAGTAGCCTGTACTTGCAGCGATTATCTTTGTAATTATTACACCTAAACTATATATGTCATACTCCTTTGAGATTACTTGATGGTTAATGAATTCTGGTGGGATGTATCCACTGCAGCAGAACATAAATGACATAGGTAAGATGAGATTGAAAAGTAAATACAATCCAACTGATTAAGAACTCTGTTTGCGTGAGCATTAGTCTTACATTGTCCCTAGACGACTCAACGTGTTTATGGTATTCCCTTCACCGATGAGCCTAGACAAACCAAAATCTGATATTTTTGGCATCATCTTCTCATCTAACAATATATTATCTGGTTTTAGATCCAGATGGAAAACGGGAAACTCCAACCCCTCTTGAAGGTATTTCAAACCCTCATAAATTCCCTTAATTATTTTGTAGCGTATAGGCCAATTATTGCCAAGATTGTCACCTGCAATAGCAAACATGTTATTCTCAATATATATAACTCCAACAACATTTTTTTATTCACATGCTGGAAAAAATATTCATTCAATACCGTAAGCACCAACCAGAAAGGAGGTTCGCAAGGCTTCCTTTGGGCATATACTCAAGGCAGAGTGCCCTGTGTATCCTTTGACAAACTGTTAGTTTACCATTGTACTCTATACATACTTCCTGAGCTTCATCGCATGAAGCCTAATAGTGGGACAATATTAGGGTGCTTGAGCTGCTTAAGGATTTCAAATTCCTTTTGGAACTGCTGGTCATAAAAACCTGGCATGAAACGGAGCATCTTCACTGCAATCTGTTCTCCATCTTCCAGCACTCCCTATTCATCATTAGCATTTGTAGTTACTCATACTAAGCTTGTATTGTTTTATGCTCAAAGTGATTGAATTTGAAACAAACAAAACAACTATAAGCAAGGGTGTCGCAGGAATTTTGGGGGCCTATGCAAAACTCTAAACAAGGGCCTAATAAACACTAGTTGCAACTAAATGCACGTATAAAAAAAACATGAATTAATTCAACAAAAATAGGGCTCTGATTTGGAATTTACTTATTAACGTTTCATGGACAATAAACTGAATCAGATTAATCAACTAATTTTAATTTGACCTTAGGCCTGCTAAGCAAGTGCTAGCACTAGGCAATTTGCTTATTAGATGAACATTCCCATGATTTGTTGTAGATTGTTCTATGTTTAGCCGCTCAATTTCAAAGTTCTTTCAGATAAGCTTAAATCACTTTGACTAGTAGCAATTTGTTATAACTTGGTCTATTGTCCATATTCTTGCGCCAATTATGTCCAGGGATTCAGAGTGTGTCAATTTCATGCTATTCTCTGATGCCACACTAGGTAAATATCGAAACCTAAATCTATCCCTGTGATACTCGGTGGTATCAATTTGAGAAAATCCCCTATTTGACATTAAAACCGCTAAAATACTAAGAGGCTCCCAGCATCTGACCCAAGTTATAACGTGACGAGGACGGATGCCGTGCACGCCATTGACGCTGAAGAGGGAGTTGCCATGACCTCCCCGTTCAAGCCTATGTGGAAGGTAGAAGGGCCCTGATCTCCGCGCGTGCACCGTTGGACCGGTCCTGAGGCACGCGGAAGAAAGCCGAACCATTAAGATGCTTACCGAGTTGATCGGCGATGTAGTCGAGTTTGCCGAAGGAGATCTTTTCGCCCGGCTACCTCTTTGCGTTGTCGCCGAAGTTGAAGACGATACCCATCTGAAACACGATGGATCTGTACGCAAAAGGCTCTTACCTGGCGCGCCTTGGAAAAATTAGTTCTGGCAATACCTAGCAGCTACTCGCGTAAGACGAATTAGATGGTAGCACACAAGACACATGATTTATACTGGTTCGGGCACGTGGGGTGCTATACGTCCAGTTTGAAGGTGGATCTCTGCATTCGTATGCTTGGTTACAGGGGCTGTCACTCCTAGCTACGTGCTAGAATGCAGAAGATGGGAATGAGATGGAGTGGATCCCGATCAGGGCCCCTACTCCCCTTATATAGTCGAAAGGGGTAGGGTTACAGTAGATGCGATCAGCTAACAGATTGGAATCCTAATCTATTACATAGAATGCGCAACAGATTGATTCTATCCTATCACTGTGGATTCGCCTGGCTTTCGTGAGCCTCAACCCTCGTCGTCTTTGGTCCGGTAGATAGGCATGGATCAGGTATATGGACGGTGAAGGTACCCCGGGCCCATATATCCGACACATACATAAGTAGTTTGCTTGCTGGGATTAAAGCACAGCCAGCGAAAGGAAGATGGATTCCAACATGATTTGAGGTCCTTGAGCCCTCAAAAATTCTCTAGTGTCAATGCCCATTGAAGAAGACGACATTGGCTACTCAGGATGTTGAAGGATTGCATTATTAACCGCATTTTCTGCCAACACATTCTCACCCATGACATCCCCTTCTTGCTCTGGCCAATTAGGCCAACCATTAGGATTGAATTCAACCATAGGAGGTGGGTTCTGGTTTGCCTCCCAACCATGATGACAATTCAGCTTATTACTAATCTCATTTAGATCCCCCACATCCTCAAAAAAAAACTATATCTACTACATTAGTAATTTTCTTCATCAGGACTATGTCAACAATAAATTTGAGTACATCGCGACACTTCATGGTCATCTTCATCAGCATAACATTGCCACTTAGTCGACAATATCGACAGGACTTATCCTCTGACAGATATGACTGCAAGACGTTTCACTGACAATGGAATCAACCACTTCATGAAAGATGACATCAACTATGACTGCATCATTGATGACAGTAGTGACCACTTCATCAACAACGGCATTGACCACATCACCGACAACGACATCTATTGTGTCAACACAACATTCTCTGACATATGCAAAATGTAATTACATCCTATGACATATGCAAGACTACACCATATGGCATCCTCAGACATCTGTAAGATGCCTCTTCTATGATGACAAATCGACTAGTAACAACATGTCTAGCCAAATCGACTACCAATAGAAGAAGTGTAGCAAGGTGGTTGCATGCAAAGCCATCTGGGCCACGCGTACGCAAAGCGGATAGGACGGCGAGCGTGGTGAGATAGGATGCGACAAAATATAAATACTAAGCGAAAATAGCCTAGCCCATATTTCTAGAAGGTATATCTACTACTTTCTTCATTATCTTTTATAAGGTGTACACACATATCAAGATTTAAACACTAATTTTTTTACCAATAAGTTGGCTAACAATTTTTATATAAACTTGATACATTTAGATTCGTAATTAAATGTATTATCCAATTATCATAACTTTATAGTATAACAATATAATATATAATAAATAAATGATTAAAATGTAATTTAGGAGATCATGTTCTTCAAACTGCGCCTTATCTATATACTATATATATACTAATATTAAAGAGTGAAAATTTCTACCTACAAATTTTGGTCCATCACACTATTTTCCAGTCGGTGTGTCCCTCCACTTTGTGGAGCATAAGAATCCACACCAGTTTTAGTAATAGTATTAGGACGCGATGGATTAGAGATTAGATCCTAATTGATTTGTTGTCCGAGTTATAATAGTATTGGGACACGATGGATTAGAGATTAGATCCTTATTGATTTGTTGTCCGAGTTAGAATAGTGCACGTCGTATGATACGATCGAAGTCTGA